TGGCTTGTCTTCTGAGTCAGCTGTTCCTATGAAAGCAACTGTGGACGTGAGTGGACCAATCAATACTTAGACGAAGCCACAAATTTACAGTCAAACTCTTTTCTATCCTCCTCATAAACGCATTTCAGTTGAAAAGCACAATTTCAGACCCGAGGTGAGGCAAACCATCCAGCTGAACTTAAATGGAAATAAAAAGAAACAAAGCATAATAATTCATTGTGTAATAACAAGACCTCTAAATCCATTCTGGAGTCCAGAGGCAGAGAGTATAATTTATGATGCCTGTGAAGACAGGCACACTTCATGGTCTAAACTGCTGCCATGCAGGATCGGTGTCGGAGGAGGGACTGAAAACTGGGTTCTCCATAGTCCTCAAGATGGAGGCGGCTTGTTGTGGTCTCGCGAGCTGTAATTCATGATCATGGGTAAGAACAGTGCAGAGTTGTTGTGTTTCACAGATACATTGTCCCAACTGCCTTTTGAGTTCCTTCTGTGGGTTGTCTGGCTTGGACCTGGTTCTAGTTTTCAGGGTCAGTGTACTTTCTCTCGGGATGTCCACAGATGAAGCATTTAAAATAATTATTAATTCATTTCTTTATAAGCCTTATTTTCACACTAATTTTGGATGGGGCATAATACAAGCCACAGAGATAAAAGATGAACAAAACAGGCCTTGTGAGGAATAGAGCCTGTGGGCAAAGGCAGCCGGTGGTCCCATCATCACCAAGGCAGCTGTGCCAAGCGCTGTGTTCTTCATGCCATAAGACTGAATCAAGGGAGGTGACCTCCTGGGAGGCATGACGATGTGCAGGGTCTTATGGCCGAGTAGAGAACTGTGGGCATCGTCCTAAGAACAATTGGAAATAATGTTGATGTCCCTCAAAATGGGAAAGATTTTGGCCAGCAGGGCAACATGATCAGTTGGACTTTTCTAACCCACTCTGTTGGGTTAGAAGGTATAAGAGTGAACATGGATACTCAGATAGGAGTGGACAGAAGTCTTCAGGGCAGCCATGATAGCAGCTTGGACAAGACCAATTATGGAGATGTAGAGGAGAGAGATTTAGGAGGTGAAATCTTCAGGGCATGGTGTAGGATGACCTTCAGGTAGGAGGATAAAGGATCGACAGGAGTTTGGGATGGATTTTATTTTTTTTTAATTTATTTTTTTAAATGTTTTATTTATTTATTCATGAGGTCAGAGAGAGAGAGAGAGAGAGAGAGAGAGAGAGAGAGAGAGGCAGAGGCAGAGGGAGAAGCAGACTCCCTGCCTAGCGGGGAGCCCGATGCGGGGCTTGATCCCAGGACCCTGGGGTCATGACCTGAGCCGAAGGCAGACTCTTAACCATCTGAGCCACCCAGGCGCCCCCTGGGATGGATTTTAGAGTTCTGGTTTGTCTAACATGGTTCTAGTTCCTAAGAAAATGGATGTTGAGAGGATCAGCGTTGGAGGAGGTCATGAGTTAATTGCTTGGATATGTTAAACATCCATGACACACGCATGAAGAGATGCCCAGGAGGCTGTTAGGTGTGTCTGGGTTTGGAGCACAGAAGGGAAGCCTGGGCTGAGATATAAACTTATGATTAGACTATAGGTGGCAATTAAAGCCGTGAGCACAGAGGAGATTTTCTAGAGAGAGGATATATATGCAGAGAAGGAGCTTTGAGAGTCTTTCGCGGTGAGTGGCCTGATAAAGGAGGGAGGGTCTCTAGATGGTGATGAAGCAGCCAGGAGTTTGTCGGAAGGTGGGCTTTGTTACTTAATCCAGGGAGAGAGTCTCCACATGGAAAGTTCTGCTCTGAGTCCAATGGACACTGAAGAACACTCGTTGGAGCTGTCACTGTCAGTGGTGATTATACCAATGACTGCTTTAAAGGAGCCATGTGGGCACAAGGCTATGGGGGGCCAGTTAGGAATGAGTGGTGGGTGAACAAATGGAGACAGAGTGGTAAAGATGAATCTATTGGTGTTTGGCTAAATTGAGATGAATAAGACCTAATTTCTATTATCACTTCCGATATAGAAGAATATGGAGCAAAGGTCCTTGGGTTAATCTACCTGGGACAGGTGCTCCCTCCCTCTTAGAAGAGCGGTTCTCCGCATGCTGGCATGTGGTCTGGCCATCTGGCACGCATTGTGCTCACTGTGCGAGCAACCATGGGCAGCAAGCATGGTATTAGCAGTGCTCCATGATACAGATGGACAGTCCCAAGAAGCCTGGGCCCTCTGACCTCGGGGCGTGGAGAGTGTTCTTATTTACACCCGTTGCTTCGTTTCCTTCTCTCTTAACTCTGGACATGAATGGCAAGGTGGAGGATGAATGCTTTCCCTGTGATTTGGGAATGGCAGCTTGGGCACTTTGTGAGTTGTCTCTTGACTGCAGCTTTTCACATCAGGGTGACATGGGGACATTCTGCTCTGATAAAAATTGAGCCTCACCACTGCTCTTAATAGGCTTGATTTAATGCAACTTTCACAGAAATTCTGCATCGCCAATTGACACATAAGTAAAGGAATTCCAAAATGAATATACTCTGCTCTGAAGCAAAATGCCTGTCAATACTTGGCCCTGAATCTCAGACATAATCTCTGGAACTTATACAATTTATGAAGGCTGCTCTTATTTCATTTCTTCAGAGTTCCAAGACTTGCAGCTTAATAACACGTCACGTAGCCTGTGCCACTGCATAACAGGCTGTGACAGCTCTTGAACACATTTTGGAAGTTTACTTGGTGTGACAAGAATGAATATAAAATTGTTTGCAATAGATATACCAATAGAAATAAAATTTTTATTTCCATCAGGAAAGCTCTCACCCATGGCACTGGCTGTCACTCAGCGTGTGGAGATGGTCTGGGCAGGATCTTCCACTCCACCCACAGCACCCCCCACCCCTAGGTCAAGCCTGATCCAGAGAGCAGGACTGTCAGGAGGGTCCCCACTGCTTCCCAGGTCCCATTCTCTCCTTTATTCTTCTTCAGTCATCGAACAAGCATGTTTTGGCTCATAAAGTTTTTTCTCAAATGCCTCTGCCTGTGATGTAGAAACCCTCTTCTGAATGTGGGGGACGCTGCCAGTCCACAGAAGTGGTGGGGAAACACCTGCTGATTTTGTTGGTATAGACTAGGAGCATGTTTGGTATTCTGCTAGGTCCAGTCTCCTCCTGGGTAATCGGGCATCACAAGGGCCTGGTTGCCGCATCTGAAATAGGTCACTTCTTTTCACTTTGCTAAAGCACCGATGCTTGGTCTTTTCCCCTTTCTCCCTTAATTCATTCATCAGATACCAATTTAGCTCACCTCTCTCTGATTCCTTCTGTCTCTCTGTTACTGTCTCCCTCTCCCCCCCCCCATCTCTCACCATACATTTTTTTTATTATTGTGTGTGCTGAATAATGCACGTGCATGGAGGGGGCGGGGAGGGAGGTGGCCTCAAATAGTTCTAAGGGTGATAACTGGATGGAAGACCTACAGGGAAGGATATAACTTCTGACGCACAACTTCTGGTTAGCTATGGGTGCATAAAACAACACAAAAAACTTAATGGTGTGAAGTGCAAATCTCTCCTTAGGCTTGTAATTTTGTGGTTCCAGATTTTGGACAGAGCACAGCCTGGCGCCTCACTGGAATGGCTTGAGGGGCTGGAGCTGGCTGGGTCCACTCAACTAGGCTCATACTTCTATGGCCGCAGTTCTTCCCCATGTGTGGTGTGTCTGGAGTCACAATGTCAAGATGGTGTCTGGCCCTGAGGCTGGGACGGCTAGACTGGCTGGACACTAGCTGGCATTGCTGTCTCTCCACAAAGCCTCTCCTGGGGCTGATAGGGGCTTCCTCAAGGTGTGGCAGCATAGGGTAGTCAGGCAGCTGGCTCCCCCCGGAGAGAGCATTCCAGTGACAACAAGGGGGCACTGGCCAGTTTCTCATGGCCTGGGCTGGTCCCTTCCATTGCACTCCATCAGTCACAGCAATGACAGTCCCCAGCTAAGACTCAAGGGGAGGGACTAGAGACCCACATGTCGTGGAGGAAATGTCAAAGAAAATGTGTCTTCTTCAGTCTGCCACAGGAGCTCCTGCTGGGCTGCCATGCAATTTACTGGTTTGCGTGGAGCTCACGGAGATCAGTTTAGGGAGAGCTGAACAGGAAGGAGAGAGGAAGAAGTCTGGATTATCTGCGGGTTAGAACCCCAAGGAAAGCTGCTGAGGGAATAAAAATGAATTACCCTGCACCGATGTCAGAACATTATTAAACAGCAGCTCAGGCACGTGCCCCCAAAACCTGCATGCTGTTTCCAGGATTTCATTTCTTGAAAATTGAGGATAAAAGAACAGTCTCATTGTAGACTACCTCCACATTGTAGAGTTGCCACAGGGAACCTGCAGGAAAATCCCCATCCACACTCACTCCCAGGAAGGGTGGCCCCTCTTGGTGTCCTCTACTTCCCTTGCTCAGGGCTGAGATCCACGTGGCCTGGCACGAGGCCCCTGTCCCTCGGCTGTCAGGAAGCTCAGGAAGAAGGGCTGGGTCTGGTTGTAGCAGCACTTAGACTGGGTTGTCCCTCCGGCCTCATCACATCGCCCCTCCCACTGCCCTCAGCAGCCACACCCAAGGGCTGGCAGGGGTCTCTGGTCTTTTTATTTTTGTGTAAGTGCATTTTCATTTTATAGCATCAGTGGCTTGGGTGTAAGGAAACATGCTACTAATTCAAACTGAAGGATTGTTTCATAGAGGAAGAGGATCTGACAGTGGCCATTTACAAATTCCAGCCGCGGAGCTGAGTTCTGTGGTCAGGTACGTCCCTGGTGATGCCGTGGGAGTGAAATGTGAGGCTCGGGCATTTCTGAGGGATTCCCAGAACTGTTGCACCTCCGGGGCCCCCACGGATTACGGTGTCATTTCCGCATTTTCCTTCGCCCTCCACTGGGAGGCATGCAAAATACATCAGGGAGGACAGTCAGTGAGTACTGTATGCATGTATAAAATGGTGCCTTTCAGAATGGGTCCACTGGGAACAGCGCCTGTGAACCCGCTCAGAGTCCATCACTGACTGACTGTCTAACGTACAAAGAGGATTACGCGGCTGTCACGGAGGAAGCTGCACCAGGTGAAACGAGCGCTTGAGCCGTCACATTCCATCTAAATCAGTGAGTAAGTGGAAATCACAATCCAGAGGTTTTTCAAGCACGTTTCCCCAAATTTGCATCTGACTATTCTTAATTACGGATACTGTCACAATCCCATCCTTAATAAGATCAGAGAATTTTTCTCTAGGGAGAAATAATTCTTATTACAAACCAGAGTGCCGGCAATGCGAACATCATGGTAGTAAAGGAAAATAGTCATCAAACATGTTTAATCTTGAGTGGCAAATGAGCACCTTCAGCGCCTTCCCTGGGAAGGCTGAGGCAGCCGGCTGGGGAGGAGGGTCTCTGGGTAGTTAGAGGCAACACGGCAGCGTCTAGGCAGCCGCAGAGATGCACGGGAATGAGGGACAGAGACCCTTGTGGGCTGTCTCCTTCACTCTCCGTTCCTCAATTCCTGCTCCAAACCCTTGTAATATCTCACTTCGAAGTATAACATAATAAAGAGCAGATCTTCAAAATCCCCTCTTCAGAAGGAGGGAGTCCTGCATTAAAAAGAAATAATTCAGCCCTTCATTTTACCACAGATGAAAAGCTTTACATCTTCTTGGGCAGGGGAGTGGACCTGACCTTTCGGTAGGTTTGCTGGCACCCTGGGCTCTGCCCCCCACCCACTGCTGAGGGGTCTGCCAAAGCCATGTGTGTGGGGAATCCTGGTGGTTTTCCAAGAGGGAGAGAAGCGACGCCCATCTGCTCTTGTGGTTGCACCCTTCCCAACCCCAGACCGCAGCTCAGCGCGTTAGCATCACTAGGTGTAATATAAGAGCACACGGCTGAGATCCTAACCTGGTCTTCTCCCCCCTGGATTGATTGATTGATTGATTGATTGATTTTTAAAGATTTTATTTATCTATTTGACAGAGAGAGACACAGCGAGAGAGGGGACACAAGCAGGGGGAGCGGGAGGGGGAGAAGCAGGCTTCCCGCGGAGCAGGGAGCCCGACGCGGGGCTCGATCCCAGGACCCTGGGACCATGACCTGAGCCGAAGGCAGACGCTTAACGACTGAGCCCCCCAGGCGCCCCTCCCCTCTGGATTTAACCCGTCTGCCACCAACTCTGACCTTTGGAGAGCTAAAGCACCTTTCAAGTGCTTCCCTGCCTTCACTTGTCCTGTCCAAAGATATTTCTTATCCCTCACCCGGGCCATTTTCTCTGAACTGGTTTCTCCTTCCTCACCTTCCTCCCCAAGCTCCACCTCTAGTCTCTTCCAGAATCATTTCCTAACAGCAACCCACCTACCTTCCTTCCTTTTCTTTCTCTTTCATCTTTTTCTTTCTTCCTTCCTTCCTTCCTTCCTTCTTCCTTCCTTCCTTCCTTCCTTCCTTCCTTCCTTTTCTTTCTTTCTTCCTTCCTTCCTTCCCTCCTTCCTTCCTTCCTCCTTCCTTCCTTCCTTCCCTCCTTCCTTCCTTCCTC